TTTTTTTTTCAAATTAAGTCTTTTTGAAGACGACGTTTTTATCAAGATTATAACACAAGGTTGACTGATGTACCCCAATTTTTGACATTTTAACCTTTTATGTCGATTTGTTTTACTCGCACATTGTTGTCAATATAATGGAATTATATACGACTGTCATACAAGTGCGAGATTTAGCTAGTTATAAAACCAGGTCTAATCCACCAGTTTCTACACAAGGAAATGCCTGTACCAAGTCAGGAATATGACACTGGTTGTTTTCCATTCGTTTAATGTGTTTGAGCTTTTGATTTTGCCATTTCAAAAAAAAGGACTTTCCGTTTTGAACTTTCCTTGGAGTTCGGTATTTTGTTATTTTACTTTTTTTTCAAATAGTATGGTTCCATCAACTTTGAGTTATATCAGCGTTAGTGGACAATAGTACAATACAGTCAATTGCAAGATGTAAAAAAACAACCTTCAAAAGAATGGTTAGAGAAACAAAATATTTTAGGAAAGTATCTTGACTGCCTGAAGAATGGGTGGCATATCAAATAGAACCTGAAATTTTTAACAAATCTTTGTTGACATCTCTTAAGATATGAAACATGAATGTATCTGCGTTAAACTTTTACATGTATTTATTCCTGGGCAGAAATAAGTACATCAGCATGTCAACGTTCTTACGAGAATGATCTTCTAGTTACTTTGATGTAAACGATTAAGTTATATTTGAAGACGTATAACGACAGTATTCAGATTAAAGCCGACTCTTAATTAGATAGATTACCTTTATAGTTTACTAGATAAAATCTTATCTTAACACCCACGAAAGGAAACAAAGACAAAAACTAAAGTATAAACATAAAGATACGACATGAAATCCTTATTCTGTATCAACGCCTCATTAAGAAGGAACGGTACATCTAAATCAACATTACTTTTCAAATTAAATTCAATATTTGTCATCTATAGAGCTATGATAAACGACGCGAGAAACTGAAAACATCTTTCTAAATAGATTATGTAATATAGATTTAACAAGTAACAATTATTGCCCACTGATTTACTCTCGTAGATATTAATGCTTTTTGGTTTTACATCAATTAAGGTGTGAATTAAAACCTGTATCTGCAAGACAAAATATCAAGTTATCGACATTGGTGAAAACACTGGAACCACATATAATAAAGTAAATGGAAAATAATAGGAAAACGTGTAACAAATACAAAAAAGCTCGCTATGTCTCGACTTAGTTTTTTTACTTTACAGATGTGTCATATTCGGTCAGTTTTCTATTGCGATACATTGATACAGCAATTACACCTGAAAACCCTCCTAATGAGTGCATTGGTTAACTTGTTTATTTCTGTAATAAAGATTGAAAGCCAGAGCTAAATGCTGACGTTACCTAGCTCTTGGTACATTTACTTCCTTTAGAATAAATAAAAACATTTGAAAAAAACAAACAAACTTGTCAGATTTACCAGGGACAAAAGAAAATAGACTTATTGTTTACTTTTTGTTAAAACCATGAACTGAAATATGGACACCCGTGTACTTTTAAGAAGACATTGAGAAGTGTTATTATTATACTAGTAGTATAGTTTCATACCTTGCATACCAATGGCAAGTATCACGTGTTAATGGTTATTCAAGGGGTAGCTTAGGCAAGCAACATACGGACCATGTCGTACCATATTATACCAATGGCAAGTATCACGTATTAATGTTTATTCAAGGGGTAGCTTAGGCAAGCAACATACGGACCATGTCTTACCATATTATACCAATGGCAAGTATCACGTATTAATGTTTATTCAAGGGGTAACTTAGGCAAGCAACATACGGACCATGTCGTACTACAAATGTATATTATGAGTAGGTGGAAAGGGTATTGGGAGACAGGGAGAAAGGAGAGAAAGGGCGGGAGAAAGGAGGGAGAACTATCAAAGGGAGACGAACTTTTATGTTGAAAAAAAAAATAAAGAGGTAAAAAAAACGAAAAAACTGGATACTAAATGTTCTAATAAATGGACAAATCTTTGAAAAAACACTCTGTTTGTTATAGACTCTGGATCGAAAAATATCAGACTTGTAACGTTTTTGTCACCAATGCACAAATATCTGTCTGTACTCCGTGATATTTACAAGTCATTTTCTGTGCATACCGAAATATTGGGAAGTGGTCATAGCGATGATATCAGGATGTCAATTTCTAAGTTAAAAGACGTTGAAAGTTTCTTTGAAAACTGCACATCTAAAGCCAAGACACTTCTACATTTGAAAATTAACTGCTTGCAAGGACCTCATGGCGTACCAGCCTCTAAAACAATACAGTCAGTTCATATGCTTCGAACAATGTTGGAGTCTCTTTCCGAGCAAGTTACTGGTATAGAATCAAAATACTTGGAGAAAGTTGATATTAATTCAGCTCTTACGTTAGTTAATGAACAATTGCACAGTATGTTGCAGTTAAAAACAGAAACACCATCAGTTCTTGACTGTGCAAGGGATTTTCTCAGAGGTGTCGTTGAGTGTGTTAAGAGAGTATCGCTTTGTGGATATCATTATTTCACATCAAAGAAAACGTCAGGGTATGAGAGTCCAAAACAGTATCTATCCCTTGAACAGTTTCCAAAGTTTCAACGTGACAAGCCGTCCAGTGTCTCTAAAGAAGACGTGAAACTATTGTTTGAATTTAGGGAGAGATATGGAGAAGGAGTACGACAGCGAAGCGTAAGAGCCGATACAACGAAGTTAGCGAGACGTTTGAGGAAGAGGAAATTGTACTGACTGTACTGAGCAGTGAAAGGACGAGACGTGGGAGAACTGTTAAAAAACCAAGACACTTGATGGATTTCTATTAATTCTGTACATATTATATTATAGTTGTAACACTCAGAGAAACGTGTCCATCACCCCAAACGTGTCCGATTCCCCCAAACGTGTCCATATGACGTCGCTGAATTCAAAACATGTCCAGTTGCAAAAGGGCGCCGAAACGTGTCAGTATTATGAACGCACAAACGTGTTCATTCCCCCAAACGTGTCCATATCAAGTCAAAACGTTTCCTTTTATGAACCCTCAATCTTGTCCATATTTTCAAATGCCCATGCAATTAATCTAATTTTTGACCTTCAAGTAACAATTAAATGTCCACCAATATTAAAATTTATAATTTTGTTTAATAATAAATTTTGGTTATTGTTCTTCTATTGACGTATATTCCTTTAATTTACTCTTTCATCTATATTGTCCTACCTCCAAGCGTGAATGGAGAATAGAAACATGGTTAATTAGGTCTTCTTCCAACCGACAGTTAAATCCTTGCCAAAGTTGGGCGTCCATTTGGCTGTGTGGGATGTAAAAGTACGCAGTCATGTCCCTCGTGTAGGAAGAGATAGATCTACCTTATGTATTATTTATGTTGTCGTTCTGAATATGCATGAAATATTTGTAACTGGACTATAAGCAATCAACAATGAAGAGTAAATTCATATGTTGCAAATCAAACTTGCAATTTTACTAATATAAACAGCCGGCGTTGAACAAACAAATGCTAACAAATTTAGGATTTTCTTCTTTAAACTCTGTTCCTTTTTTAATTTCCAGTAATTGTGCTAAAATACTTCAGCATTTATGTCTTTTTAATACGGCTTTAATCTTTTTTATAGGATCTGATCGAAACCCGACATCTTAAATCGTGTCCCCGAAAAATTAATTGCCATAGACGTTATTAACGTCACTGAGAACATAATAGCGCTAAAAGTTTTGAGACGTTCAGGCGTCCCAAAGTGGACACGTTTTGGCGAATAACAATTATCAGACACGTTTGGGAATGCGAAATTGGACACGTATGGGCGATTTGGGATTTTAAGGACACGTTTGGGCGAAATAGACACGTTTGGGGGAATCGGACACGTTTGGGGGGATGGACACGTTTGGGAGTGTTACATATTTTATAGCAAAACTTAGACAAATATTTAAGGCCAGATATATGTACACAGGTTCATTAGTTTTCTTGTCATATGCCTTCACATGTGGGTATCTGTTTCCTCTAAGTATTTGGCGATCTTCTACAAATTTAAAAAGAAGGGATGCTGACAATGTCAGAGAGATACACTCCCTCCTCTAAACAATATTACATGTACTAAACGCGTTTTCCAGGTCACCTTAAAATATTTACGTTATCCACTTGACCATACAAAGTAAGGTGTTCTCGAGGACAGGGAAAAATAGAGATGACACAATAAAAAACTATGTCTAATTTCATGATCCTCATACATGACCATACCTATCAAAAATGAGGTTCTTGACATTGGGGCATGCACAATGCACCATTGACAACATTCCAACATTGTGTATTAATTTGCGTAAAGTCGGAGGCAGGCCTTGTTCGTAAAATCAGTATATGCTTTAATAAAGACCTATGCCACCTATATATGGTCATATATTAATTCAAATTTGTATTAAAATCAATTGATCTGAAAAAAGACGGTTGTTAAGGTGGGAGATGGAAGCGGGAGAAAGGAGAAAGGTACCCCCCTTTCCACTCCCTCTATTATACCAATGGCAAGTATCACGTGTTAATGTTTATTCAAGGGGTAGCTTAGACAAGCAACATACGGACCATGTCGTACCATATTATACCAATGGCATTTATCATTCATAAATTATCATTGTTAAACGTCGAAATTGAATGAAGGAGATTATATAAATAAATATATATACGTTAATTAGCCGAAAGCAACCCAAAAAAATTCCTTATTTTAGTTCTTGGAAGATGGCGTTATTTCTGCGTAAATGTTTAAAATCAAATGTGACACTTGTTCATCGATTCAATATTTTATACGATAATTAAAAAGACTTTGATTGTAGCATTTTATAACTTTACATACTCATATCAGTTTATATATCAATGGCGACATCTTGTTTCATCGACCGTCTGTAATGAAAATGTAACAAAAACAAAAAAATTAACCTTGTTTTTATCTTATTTTTTAGCAGTAATCAATCCATGACAGATACAATTATACATTGGGGTATCGTGATTTCGGTCACAGCTGGTGGCAGTGATCAATCCTCGTTATTTGACTGGCCACGGCGAAACAGTAGGTAAAAAAACTTTCTTCTTTATAAGTTTTGCATATTTTAATTGCATCAGAATAATTGAAATATATGTTCAGATATATATATATATATATATATATATATATATATATATATATATATAAATATTGGTCACTGGACACTGTGCAGGCGGTGTCGCCACGAGGTCACGTAAGCACGGGCCAAAATTCCGCTGAAAGTTAATTGTTTAAACTTAAGTTGTTAAGCTTGAAATCGTTTTCCCCCGTGTTTTCATACAGGCATCTCGTATTAATGAACTCATTTTAAATGATATGCCCCTTTTCCAGTATAGAATATGTCTTTACCATGTTTAACATTTAGATTCAATAAATTTTGAATTATTTATTGCATAATCAGATATATTCTGCAAGTAGACATCTGTTAACCCCCCTCCCCGATTAATACAACATGTTAACAATATTTTATAATATAAGTATTAATTGAAAAACGATTAAATTTTTCCTCCTTAATTTTTTTTACTAGTATATAAAGCCTTGCGGATTGTCGATAAACTCTTTGCAATATTATAAGGGTTCAACTAGTTGGCGGAATAACCAGTCAATGGTTTTTAAAGTCTGTTCGTTGTTTTAATTTGTTTTTAAAGAATTTTATGTCATTCGTATACTTTGAGGTTCGGTTCGATTTTGATTTTTTTTGTTAGTAACATCCATTCAGATAAATCCGATAATTCATACCACCAGGTTTCCAAAAAAATCTAATTGCCACTTGGTATGGTCCGAACTTTTCAATACATGTTAGGTAAATATAAAAATAAGTAGATGTGATATACTTCCAAAGGACAAAGATGTTACCAACAATTGATCACTGTACGACTTTCAGCATTGAGCAAAACCCATAAATCAGATTAAAACTGCATTATCGAAACAGTTTTAATTGAGTATAAGAAATAATTGGCTCCCTGAATTTGGAAAAGGAACTTCCTGTTACAGTAGGAATTTTGATTGTACAGAAATGATTTTGGACAGCTCAGAAATTGCATACCTTTGCAATTATTCAATAAATATGCATATGAAAATCATCCAAAAATACATATGATACGAGGTATGATGATATATCTTTCGCGTTTAAAAGATATACAAAAAAGTTCTCTATTCATGATTGTTCTAAAAACGGACCGTCTTGTCAGCAACTCTACACCTTCTGGAAGTATTAGATACATAACAGAAGGAACACCTGTATACTTTTGTCTTCCAATTATTTCCAAAGCGTAACAATGTACACTATATATATATATATGACCGCTACCTAAAAGGAAAGACAATTGCTATGTCATTAGAGCACTATAAATGTAAAAAGAGATAAAGATTAGAGTTAAAGATAGACTCAATTACACATATCAGGTTTGTAGATTTAGGTTAACTGTTTTCGGAGAATTTCATGTCTATCAGTATTTCATTTTGGTTATAAAATAGATAACATTTCATCATTTGGAATACAATACATAGTTACTGCTATCATAAAATGGTATCACAATCCTGTATTTGAAACATGACATGCTTAATTTAGATATGTTTTACAAGTGGGCACAGTTTTTAGATAATTGCGTTTGATCTTGGAAAAACGATAATTAACTAAATCATCATAGAAGATTGTTCATGAAATTTACAGTTTAAAGAAACTATTTCTTTTGAAATTATCTTTTAAATATATCGTAAACTGAAACGTACCGGTAGTATTAAACTTATATCAACGGAGGATTGACATTACACAGTTTATCCAAATGCCACTAAAATAACAGAACACTCTTTGCATTTGTATAAAAATGGAATTAAATTTGGTGAGTCAAAAGTGCTTCTCGGGATCTACTTTGATAAAATTGAAATAAAAAAGGGGTACATTTCCATATAGCGCTTATACAACAAACATAAAAGTGAAGACGCATAACTTCTGTATCAACTGTTTATTTCATTGGACTTACTGTTAGTAAATGCGAGCATTTTTTATGGGTTATTTTTTTAGTATTGGTGTTGTTGTCCTTTCTGAATTTTATTTTTATGGCAGATCTTTGAACAATGTAGATTGCGTACATTTATTCATAACTTGTATAAAATCTGTACAGTTTGATCTCAATATAGCATAGACATTACAATGTAGTTGAAGACTGTATTTTCATTTGAGGAGGCTTTCATAGTTTTATTTTGTCTTATTGACGTAAAATAACATATCTTTTGATTCATTAAGAAAGGGATGAAAACAATGATTGGGATCTAGAAACAGCAGGCGCATCAACACGAACTGCATCTGCAGTTGTGCATGCATCAGATGTCGTGCGATTGGAAATAATGTTCAAGCAAGTTTCAAGACGTGAAATATGTCAAGGTTGTTTACAAGCGGACGATAATGAACAAATGGGATTCTATCGAACAGTAAAATATCTCTGAACTTCAGAAACAAGGGCCGCTATGATGATGTCATTCGTATAAAATAAAAACAACTAATTTATATACAGAAAGCGAAAAATCGTATATGGAAATTTTTGGGGACGGTTTAATTATATTAAAGTGTACATGTAATGACGACTTCGTGTAAAGTAAACTTTAAAGTACAATACAATGATTCAGTACTGTTTGTTGTTACTGCATAATTTTTATCAAATACAACTTTTACCTATGATCATATGTATTATTAATTTAAGGGAAGCATGCATGTGGTATTCAGTACGTAGGTGAAACTGGACGCTATTTATCTAAACGCACGCAAAAACACCTTTTTTTAAAAGACCAAATACATTCAAAAGTATCATTTATCAACACCTTAAGAAGCACAATCATCCTATTAAATATTTAACAGTTCAACCTTTAGAAGTAGTAAATAAGCAGCCTGGTGAATCTCATTCAAAGTTTGTACGATCACGGAAAATAATTGAATTAAATTGGATTAAAAAATAACAGACAGTCTATCCTCTCGGTCTTAATGATAATATCATGGGAATTGGTAATATATGAAGAACCGATTCTGTTAACATTTTGGATATAGTTTCTAAAACTGTTCGTAAAATCCGTTCTCATGGGCGTAGAATAAATCGCAATCAAAGAAAATTTCGAACCAACAATACAAATATTTCGGACATAATTTTTATTTAAAAAAACAACGGCAGACATTGTCTGTTAACCAAGCTCTGTTCTTTACCTGTAAATAAATTACATAAAATTTTAGAGGATTGCAACACAATTCCATATTGCAGTCTTAAGTATGAAATCGTTCAAATTATAATGGCATATTGTTATTCTAAACTGTTTTCCAAAATTGATCGCCCTGAAGATCGTAAAAAACATTTTATTAAAATCAAATATGTCAATAAAGGTTTTGATTTTGTAAATATTGCCGGTATTTTTAATGATCATTCTGTTAAAGAACAAATTCCTGGATATTTGGATAATACTGAACTCCCTCTTATTTGTTATGTTTACAAAAATCTACCCGGAAATATGTGTTTACTTATAGCCAAGTGTGTAAAGATGTAAATATCAGTGACAATACACCTACGTCATGTAATTGCAGTAAATCCGAATACATTTATGGCTCTAGTTCCCATGTTATAACAGGAGACCTTAACATCGTTCGTGACCGAGAGTTGAAATCATTCCTTAGTAAAGGACCTAAATATCGTCCCCCGTCAATTATTAATTGGAATGAGTGTCGTAATATCATCCACGACTCTCACTCCGAACTTACTGCTTAAAATGGATAAAACGAGAAAAAGCTGATAAGAAATCTTTGGACTCTTTTTTTAATTCAGTAATGAACATAGTTGATATACATATACAACATTTTAAAGAACATTTTACTCCTAACAACAACCATTATAACCCTATTTCTCGTATCAAACATAAACTAAAAGAACTCGCCAAGGAATTTGTTTTTGTCCCGGCTGATAAAGCTGCTAATAATATCATTATTGTTTGACGTAAATTTTACATTGAGGTTCTGCAAAAGGAAATCACGAATTCACCAACATTCCAACTGATAGATATAGAAGATGTGGTATAAGTGCCAATGAGACAACTCTCCATCCAAGTCAAAATTTATAAAAGTAAACCATTATAGGTCAAAGTACGGTCTTCAACACGGAGCCTTGGCTCACACCGAACAGCAAGCTATAAAGGGCTCCAAAATTACTAGTGTGAAACCATTCAAACGGGAAAACCAACGGTCTAATCTATATAAAAAAACGAGAAACGAGAAACACTTATGAACCACATCAACAAACGACAACTACTGAACATCAGATTCCTGACTTAGGACCGGTGCAAACGTTTTAATGGTACCACCTTTACCCTTATCTGAAGCAATAGTGTAACACCACAAAATAGAAAGACACATTATAAAATATCAATAGAAATGGCTTAACTCAATCAAAAGACATATTAACACCAGTGAACATACACTGAACAAATAAGTTTGATCTATGATACAATGTAAATACAAAAAAAATAAACTAAGGGAAGAATAATACTCCATTTTCGGAAAATGACATCTGTAACAAACATAAACTTTTAGCTACTTCTTTACAAGCAGAACCAAATACAATGAAAGTTCCAACTATGTACTGGCTTCCGAAGCTGCACAAAACACCTTACAAATATAGATTGATTTCGTCTTCAAGCCATTGGTCCACTACTAAACTGTCTATTCTACCACTAGTACACTTGGTACAATCAAAAACCTGATAATGAATTGTTCAAATAAGGCTTTTGAAAATAGTGGAATTAATTACTTTTGGAGTGTAAAAAATTCGTTGGAAGTACTTGATAAATTGCATGCTTATATTGGTGATTTTGAATCTGTTCAAAGTTTTGATTTTTCTACCCTATATACCACTTTGCCTCATATTGTTATTAAGAAAAAGTTCACACACCTAATTAAATGGGCATTTAAAAAGTCAGAATGCAAATATATATGTTCAAACTCTTTTAGGTCATTTTTTAGTAACAACAAACAAAAGAACTATGTCAATTGAACAT